GATGATGGATGGATGGATAGATGATGGATGGATGGATGGATGGATAGATGGATGGACAGATAGATGATGGATGGATGGATGGATAGATGGATGGACAGATAGATGATGGATGGATGGATGGATGGATGGATGATGGATGGATGAAAGGATGGATGGATAGACAAATTGATGAATGATGGATGGATAGATGGATAAATTGATATAGTATCAACAAATTGATAAATAAGAAGATTGATGGATAGATGATGGATGGATGGATAGATCATGGATGGATGGAAGGATGGATGGATGGATGGATGGATGGATGTACGGATGGATGGATGGATGGATGGATGTACGGATGGATGGATGGATGGATGGATGTACGGATGGATGGATGGATGGATGGATGGATGGATCTCTGATAAACCAGTGCAGTAACTCTCACACACAAACAAACACTTTAGTTTCACTTCATGTTTTAAAGGTGGAGTTTTTGTATTTTTAGCTTCCAGAGACAGTTGGAGACGCTGCAGCTCAGTCTGTTAACCACAGAGGGACAAAGAAACATGATGGGTAATAATAGATGTGGAAAACACAAACTCATCCTCTTTTCAGCCCCGACAACAAAGATCTGCTCTTTAAAATCTGATTGAATCAGTTTCCTGTGTGAGCAGGGGCTGCATCACGACAGGTCAGGTGCTGAAAACCTTCTTTTACACRAAGGCCAGCAGAATGCTACAATATTAAATCCCATCTGATCTTAATTAACACCAGTTCATCTGAATATCWGAGAAACAGGCAGCAGGCCGAGAAGAGAGAAGCTCTCTCTCTCAGCAGGAGCAGATAATTGGAAGGAAAATGTCATCGGCGTATAAGACAATCAGACCCAGACGTGTCTCCTGAACAGGAGTCACACCACCTAACGAGACWGGGGCCACACCAGCCAACGCTACATTCTGTTTGCAACTTTTGATCATGCAGAAAGCCAGATTGTGTTTCGTGTCTCGTCTTCTTTGCCTCAGCGGAGGAGAGTCGAGTGTAACTGTGGTGAATCGGCTTCATCTGAAGCTGCTGTCTTCTAAAGAGGCTTAATTTAGCACCGTTCTCTACTCGAACTTTTGACACTTACAGCTCTGCCTGCAGGCTGCTTCCGGCTCTGTGAGCAAAAGAGCATATTTATTCGAACAGACTCGATTCACGTCCTTTAAAAACTGGTTAACCTGAGAAACYTTCAACACACTTTTAGTACTTTTTACAATTTTAAACTGAGGAGAACTTTGCATTAAGTGGAATAAATAAATCAAACTGTGGATGGAAAATATACTTAGCAGAAAAAGTAAATCAACGTGTGTTTGGTAGATGACTACTTTGTTGTAACAATGCTTCTTGGCAATAAATTTTGTACCGTTGGAAAGCCTGTTCATTTCTCTTTTAAATGGTGCCACATTTGTAAGGATCGTGCATTTGTGTGATGAGAAGTAGAGCTGAGGATGTGGGTTGTAGACATGAAATATTAGCGAAATCTTCTCTGCCAAACTTCTTTTGTTGTTGGTTTGTTTTGAACTTCTGGTGCCCCCAGGTTCTACCAATCAGGTGCCCAGGATTTATTTATTGTTACAACAAAGTAATAATCCACCAAACACAGATGTATTAATTTTTGTACTAGGGTTAAATCCAAATCCTCCAGTTGGAGGCGATTAGTAGGTCTTATAATCAGTGCTGAGTTTACTCTGAGTTCCTTCTTGAGGCTGAGACTGGACACCATTGAAGCTCCATAACTCTCATCTTTACAAAATACCAGTTTGTTTTGCACAGATGGACCTCGAGCAGACTCCATGAGAACAAACATCCACTGTTCTGCCTCCAGAAGTGACCCGAAACACAGCATTTTCTTCCGAGCAGCAGTCTATCTGTTTGTTTGTGTGTCACTGGATTATAGTTTACAGTGAACAACTGCTGCTTATTATGGTCTGTTTGTTCTCCTCCTAATGAGGAGCTGATTATCTGTTGGTGTGTGCAGGAGAGCTAAGAGGTGGCTTACATACCCATCATGAAGATGACTTTTGGTTTCTTCTGATCTGTGCAATAACCTGTCAGAGGAAAGAAAACCACAGTTTCACAAGTTATTTATGTTTCTGTGAGGAAACAGTTCACTTTATACATTTTTTACAGMGAGCCTGAAGGTCTCAGTCAGCCAGAACATCTCCACTTTCAAAGCAGAAACTGAAATTTGTTCTCATTAAATGCAAAATCGCAGCTTAAACAGTCATGTTCGCTCACATCAGAGGACTTCTCTACACACACGCAGGTCTGGTTTGTATCTTCCTGGTTTGTATATTCCCGTGGGGACCGTGCATTGACTTCCATTCATTTTTTGGAAATTTTGTAGCCTAACCCTGACCATTTACCCTAAACTTGACCTGACCCTAAAACTAACCTAAAATCAATTCACACCTTGGACCTAAACGAAAGCCCCCACCCACAATTTGCATTTGGACCTGTGGGGATTGGGTATTGGTCCCCACAATACATGTTCGATCCCCACGAGACTGCTTTTTCGGGAAAATTGTCCCCACGATGTAGGAAAAACAAGGCCACACACACACACACACACACACACACACACAC